GACATGTCACGTTAAATCGTTTGTAACATATATGAATTGATCAACAAGGGGGTTCCAATTTTTCTAGATTCGATTTCAAATTTGGTAAAATGCTTGACTGCAATATATAACGATATATGTAATTTATTAAATAAAATATTATAAAAATGATCTTTTAATATTTATAAACTGGTGAAGAAATCACACTTATTAAAAGGTCTAATCCCGGACAAGCACCATAATCATTGTATAAAATTAGATTTTCGATGGCGTCTAATTTTTTGTCTCTATACATATGATAAAAATTTATATACAAACCATTGCTTATTGCAAAAGTCGCGTGATCTCTTGATTTTTGCTCATCCAATATACAACATCCATAGTTGCACACTTGGAGTAGGTCACCACTTAGAAAATTTCTGCCAGTTTTTTTTAATTCTATTATGAATAGAACATTATTGGAGTTCACCTTTAGACCTTTTCGTGCAAATGATATATCTGGCGCGTACCCTCGTAAATAATGATTATTTTTTGTACGTTCAAATTTAACAAACTTCATTTGCGGATTGAGAAGAGACAACTGCTCTTCAAAATAATCTTGTAACCTCGATTCGCCATCAAAATGATTTTTGATCATAAATAAATTATCAGGTACTGTGATGTTTTTTTGGTTTGAAAAACCAAAATTCATCACAAGATAAAATCGTTGCGTCTCTTAAAATACGTCTCCATCTCTTATTATCGGTATCGATCGATAATTGCGTTTGGTTAGGCAATGTTAAGTCTTTACAAACATTATCCCTATAAGTGTTCTCTAAAATAATTTGTAAATATATAAATGAAATGAGTGAAAGTATTTTTTCTTTTTTTACATGATTTGTTCATTACCTATATTCTTTAGTCTTAATTTTCGCTTTAAGATGGCAACTTCTTTTTCTAGTTCTTTTATCCTCTGTTCCTAAAAGAATTGTTGTGGAGAATAATTGTGCGTAAAAAAAATGTTTTATTTTTATATTTAATAATATTTGCACTAAATATTAATAATTGGAATATATACTTTTATGTCATCGTTTTCTTTATTCTTTCCATTCGCACTAACACTAAGTAAACAAAAAAAGATAAAGTTATATATAAGTCAAAAGTTTAAATAACAATGATTGCTACTACCGTTCCTTTTTTTTAAATAAAATTAGTGACGATGAGTGGTGATAACCACCATTCTTTTGATAAACAATACTTACTCGTTTAATTTGCCCTTTACATTTTGTTGTTTTTTTCTTCCAATATTTTTTTTATTGGGCATTTTTGTAGATGAGTTAGTTGAAGAGAATCCTTTTTTTGAAAAGAAAAATTTGTTATTAAAAAAAAAACTCAAGAATAAAATTATTATTGTTGGTACTTGGTGTTGTTCAAAGGTTTTTTTGCATCATTTTTTTTTTTTTTTTTTGAAAAACAATTTATTTTTCAATGACAAAGCATGAGTGATGTTATTTTGTATGGCTTGGTTCTCCTAAAGAAGAAGTGTTAATAACTAACCAGAGGTACTATTTTTTATTTGTATTGATATAATGTGGTGTCTTTTATTTTATATGAATACTATAATTGGAATCAAAATGCGGTGCAGATCTTGCTGGGTAATTATAAGAATCTCATCAAGATGGTAAACAATTGGTATTTTGCTTTTGGTAATCAATATTAATAATAATATTAATATTAAAATATATAATTACAAGAAGATGCCAAGACAGCACACTGTTGAAAAAGAAACATGTCGATATGCAATGTTTGATTATCGGAAATTAGCAGGCATTAAATCATGCACACTACCTTGAACACTTACAGTCATTCACACATCTTCCTTGTGTACATAAGGCTAATCTGACCTGCATCCCCCGATGGATATGATATGCAATTAAATTTCAGGGGAGGAGCGCATGGCTCTGGAATTTATTAAAGCTTCATCAATCGTCAAGAACACTTTCACTAATCTTCCCTCACAGCACCCAGACCAGAGAAGGCTGCTGCCATGTTAGCCAAAAAGTTTCCTTCAACAATCCTACCTTTAGGATGGCTCTGCAACCAAGAAGTCACAACCCTGGAGGAATATTAAGAGAATCTGCAGCTTGTTTCAAGCACAAGAGGTTGCAATTCAGAGTGGGGTTTGTGACTCTGAAATTGCATTTGGGCTCTGGTGTTAAGAGGAAAGTTGTAAAATAAATGGTTCAGATATTTTTTTGGCATGTTATATGAATTATCATTCCCAAATTTTCTGTTTCTCTTTAATTTTTATTTGACCAATTGAATTTGTTATTTAAACAGGGGTAATTGATGAGTAGGTGCACCACAACAAAACAGCAACCCAGGACTCAAAACTCTGAATCCAAAACAGCAACTTCTCAGGTTGCAACCTTCTGAGTTGGAGAATTTTGAACCAGTTGCAGGCACAAACTTTATCCTAGAGAGGGTGATAACACAAAGCAATCATCACACAAGCACCAGCTATCAGTGATCAATGTCCATATGGTAACAGTCAAGCCTGATCTGAGGGGAAGATAAGGGAAAGTTTTGTCCAAAGCCTACCAACATGTTCAAGTCCATTTCACCTGTGGGAAAAAAATTCCATGGTGCTGATTGTGATTAAATGCACAGTCTTGCATATTTGTGATAGGAAATTTCAATTAAATCTGACACCTGCAATCAACATCAGATTTATTATTCATAATTGATAATCAGGAAGAATAATTTATTATTGTGAATCCCAGAGACTTGAGTAAACACACAATATTGTTTCGAAATCAGACTTCTTGAAATTTCATTCCTGCATGGTCCTAGTATTATCATTACATGGGTGATGTAATTGTTTGTTACATCAATGACAATATCAAATGTATTGAATAATCATTGTGATGTATATGGGACAAAGGAATTCACACATGAGGAAAGGATTAGATAACAACAAAAAAGCTAAGTATTATCTATATAATTAATTATTTTAAAAAATTATTATTTTAATCCACATTTGTAATGCCATTAATTTCAATAATTATGAAGTTTCTTTAATGTTAATGATTGAAATCAATCACACAGGTGGTAGTCAATTTATTAAAAAATAGTATTATTTGTAATGATATTTGTAAAAAAAATTGTTAAAGGATTAATTTTTTTTTTGTAAAATGTTTGATAAAAAATAAATTTAAACATTTTGCTTTGTTTTTATTTTAGTAGATTTAATAAGTTTAGCAAAAATGCACATGATTTATTTAAAAAAAAAAATATCAATCAACTTGTATAAAGATGATTAAAAATAATAATAAAAGATATAGGAAATTGAAATTTACATGCACACAAACACTAATTTCTTTAGTCATTTTTTTAGAAATAACAATAATTCTCTTTTATTTATTTGTTTGTTAATTTTAGTCTGATCAATAAATCTTGGATTATTATTATTATTATTATTATTATTATTATTATTTGTAAATCAAATAGTA